CTTACTTTGGCTTATTCTCCCAGTGTTCTCTCGATTCTGTTTATCCTTTTACAGAATCAGCTGTTAGCTGCATTAATTTTTTACATAATTTTCTTATATTCCTTCTCCAGAATCTCAGCCATGATTTTTTTTTCTTTTGCTATTAGTAAGATTGTCCTGTTGACTCCTCTCTAGTTGTAAATTTTGTGTCAGCATATCAATCATGAGTCTCTTCCTTTTTCAGGTGTGCCTATATTGCTAGGAAACCTCTGATAACTGCCTTTGCTGTGCCCCATAAGTTTTGGTACGTCATGTTCTCATTCTCATTGGTTTCTAGAAATTTCCTAATTTCATCTCTGGTCTGGGCCAATATGAACTCCTTTGCAGTAGAGAGTTATTCATCCTCCAGTTGATTGCTCTTCCTATTGTTCATTTCCAGCCTTATAGCACAGTGGTCAAAGAGAGAGGTCTGTGTGATATCAGCGTGCTTAAATTTATGCAGGTTTGTCTAATGATCCTGCACGTGGTCTATCTTTGAATATGTGCCATGTGGACTTGAAAAGAATGTGATCTTTTTTTGGTATTTTGATGAACAGCTCTGTAAATATCTATCAGGTCAAATGGTCTCATTGTAGTGTTTAGATCTCTACCCTCCTTGTTGATTTTCTTTCCCTCTGATCTATCTTTCTCAGAGAGTGGTGTATTGAAGTCATCTACTATAATTGTTGAGGCTGTGATTTCTTTTTTCATCTTTTGGAGCATTTGGTTGACATAATCAGCAGGTCTCTCGTTCTGGGAATAGATGTTTAAAATACTTAGTGGTTCTTTGTCTATCCTTCCCATGAGCATTATATAGGTGTCCCTCCTTATCTCTTTTTATGGCTTGCACTTTGAGGTCAATTTTATCTGAGATTAGGATTGCCACCCCTACTTTCTTTTTTAATTGCTCTTTGCTTTTCTCCAGCCTTTGATTCTCAGCCTATTTTTGTCTGTAGTCTTGAGATGTGTCTCCTGTAGGCAGCAGATTGACAAGTTGTTTTCTAAGCCAGTCTGCTAGCCTGTCTTTTAATGCCTGAGTTCAGTCCATTGATATGCAGGGTTATTTTCTACATCTGTGGACTCTGTGATATCTTATTATTACCATTTGTGTTGGGTGTTTTCTTATCTCCCTTTCTTATCAGTGTGTCGTGCATATGTGTGTGCGTGTGTGTGTTTCATTCTTGACTTCTTTTCACCCTTAAGCCAGTGCTATTTTGGGGACTGTTTTCTCTTTGTTGCCTTCTGGGTGGGGGTGTTCTATGTGGCTGTGGTCTTATTTGTGCTTGGTGAGTGCTGTTCTTCTGTTCATACTGGGTCGGCAAGGATCTGTTGTAGGGCTGGGTTTCTTCTAACGTACTTTTTGGTTTTTTTCCTTGTCTGGTAAGACTCTTCATCTCTTGATAGATAATTTGGCTGGATAGAGTATTCTTGTGTTTACATTCTTTTCCTTCGATTTTTGGAATATGCTACTCCACCCTCTCCTCTTGTTCATAGTTTCTGATGATAGGTCTGAGCATATTCTTATTTGGGAACCTTTATATCTGATTGTTTTTCTCTGGCTATTCATGATTTTCTCCTTTTCCTCAAAGTTGGATAGTTTAACTCTTATCTGCCCTGGTGACTTCTTGGGATTCAGTCTAGCTGGTGTTCTTTAAGCCTTCTGAATGGTTGCCTGGTTTTCATTCATTAAGCTGAGTAAGTTTTCCTCCAAGAATTCTCTCACTATTGTTGCAGATGATTTCTTTGTTGTGTCTTCCTCCAGTATGCCAATAATTCTGATGTTGTGCCTCTTCATAGCATCAGACATAGCTCTTCAGTTTTCTTCAGCTTCTCTGATAATCTTATGGAGTTTTGTTCATGTTTGTTAAAGTCTGCTTGTCTGTTCTCTAGGTCACTGGTGTAGTTCTCTGCCTCCTCCAGTTGGTGGCAAAGTCCGTGAGTCTGCTACTGGTTTTTGGTATCTTGTCACTAAGCTGTTGTATTTCCCTTTGGTGTATGGTCTTTATCTCCTGTATCGTTTCATCTTTTTTCTGTATTGTTTTCCTCATATCCTTTATGGCTTCAAGCAGCATTCTGGAAATTTCTCTCTGGAAGATCACTGTCTCCTTCTTCTATACACATCGTTAGGTTCATGACATCTTCTGCTGTTGCTTTTTGTTCCCACTTTTGTCGTTGAGGTCATTGTGGCTGATTGCTGTTTGAGTTGTGTTGTTTTCAAGGAGCCAGATGACATTTTCCAGGGAGTCGAAGATACTGGCTCTCTCTGAGAAAGTCATAGGAATGCCTCTGAACTGCTTGCAGCTAATTTCACTATTGAATTGGCCTACTATTTGATCCTCCTGTGGCTTCACTCTTTCCATAGTCAACCAGTATTCTGTTATTTGGAGGGCAAATTGGGTGGCCTCTCATGGGGTGCTTGTTGGTTGGTTGTGGATCCATGAGGATGGTGCTGTACTGAGTGATCTAACAAGAAGCCATGATGGTGTTGCCTATGGCAGCTTGGGGCTCTGCAGAGTGCATTCAGGGGTGCCTGCTGCAACAGGAGTGCCAAAGAAGGCTGGGGGGTTGCCCACTTTGTTGTAGAGCACCACAAATAGTGGGTGGAATTGCCCTTGTCATGTTGATCACTGCGGAGTTTAGGCAGAGGTTCCCACAGCAGTGCGGAAAGTTGGCAAGTGTTTGACGACCTGCCTTAGGCTGTGCAAGGCACTATAGCAGTCGGGAGTAAGTTCCGTCAGTCCTGTGTGATCACAGACAACGGGTAGGAGCATCCCCAGCCATGCCAGCAGGATTTCCCCTGAAGGAGGTGTGTGGGATTACCCCAGCCACATGTTAAGCACTGCAGAGGGTGGGCGGGCAGATTTTCCCCTTGAGGAAAGTGGGCGGGGTTTCCTCATGGTCTCAGATAGTGTAGTTAGTCTTCCTGAAATTTGAGCCCTGAAATCAATTAATTATGCCATACCCATGAAGATACTTTTTTTTTTTAATTGGGGGCTCATACAACTCATCACAATCCTTACATACATCAATTGCATAAAGCACATTTGTACATTTGTTACCCTCATTGTTTTTTTAAAAATTATTTTATTGAGGGCTCATATATTTCTTATCACATTCCATACCTCTATCCATTGAGTCAAGCACCTATGTACACCTGTTGCCCTCATCAATCTCAAAACATTTGTCCTCTACTTTTGCCCTCAATATGGTTTGCTCGTTCCCCCCTCCCTTCCCCTCCCCCCTGAACCCTTCATAATTCATAAATTATTATAGATTTGTCATAAGTTACCCTGTC